GAATCTTCCCTTTCCCTGGAGATTAAGGGACTCTCTACACATATCTAAAATCCGGAAACTGCTGATGCAGATGTAAGATTCAAGAGAAAGGCAATTTAGGGAAGAAATAAAGTAAGAAATGTTAAGGTCAAACAAACCTAAAGAGAATCAAGCTGCCCCGGTCAGAAAATGTGTGTAACCCAAGCCCACTGCTTTGGCCTCGGAACGCTCAGGGTAACTAGGCAACGACGTTGCCGTGGTAACCCGGGACGCTCAGAGGGCACCGAGGAGTGTCGCCGGGCAGCCCTTCCGTGTCCGGAGCTGGCCTGGTGGGAGGGGTGATGGAGTGTCAGGCTCTCGCGACAGCTGCGTGGGGTCGTTGGCAGGCATCATCGACGACGTTGCTCCTAGGAACGCGGTGCACAGGCGGGGGGTACGGCCCAGAGCGCCCCGATGGCTGCTCAGCAAGGGGTGCCCACCTCGTCCCTGCGGGCTCTGGAAGAAGCTTTGGGCATGGGCTCGGCGGCTGGCGGGGACGCCTCGGACATGGCAGAGGGGACCTACTACCTGGAGCGTATCCTTCCCATATGCGCGCGGCCCCAGGCGCCGGCTGCAGTAACGGGTATTAGGGGCCAGGGCCTGAGCTCTCCACTGGGGGGCGTCCTGGAGGCTTGGGGCCCCGATTCTACCCAGTTGGAGCTCAAGCTGGCCTTTCTGCCACCGAAACCCCCTTATATAGTTATCGGAGTAAACTTTGGGTAAAAGTTTTGTGCGAAGGTGGAACAACAAATTGATCCAACCCTCGTCTGGGCTCAGTGTTTTCCCCAAGCTTTCAGAATTCCAGAAGGAATTGGTCAAGAAAGTTTGGAGACCAGGGAATCCTCTGTCTTTGGGCTTTTAAGGAGCTGACGCTCAGAGTGTCCCACCTGTACCCAATGCTTAAAAAGATTTACTTTGATAGCATCAACTTCCTGGGTAGTTTCAATTTTGGCGTTTTAATAATAAATACGTTTGTTTGTTTTTTTCTTCTTTAGCAACTAAATAATATCCTGGTGAGCTGACAGGGCTCAGAGGTGTTGGGAGAAAGCCAGAAAGTAATGAGCAATTATCAAAAGAAATAGCAAAAAACTGAATAGCCGTATGTGGATGATTAAGTTAACTATTTCTTGTGTAAAACTTTTGAGCTCCCTTCAGTCCCTGGTGGGTTATGGGTGGCAACAGATCGATGTCTGTCTCTCTCTCTCTCTCTCATCAATAAAACATATCCTAAGATGAGGATTAAAATACTACAACAATCTTTTCAGCTCTCCTCGAGGCACATAGATTAATTGTACTGATGGGAGGTTTCATGAGAAAAAAAGATATCTATTCCTTTCTTCCGGCAGGTAAAACAGAGATGGTTTATCTATTTTATTCTCAAAGATATCAAGGAAACTCCCAAATCTACCTATTATGTATGTATGTATATATATTTGTCCCACTATAGCTCTAATTCACTCTAGCTCTAATTCAAGACATCAGAGACCCAGCAATGGTTCTCTGAAGGTCAATGGTTGTGAGCTTTGGCGAACTGATGAATCTATCTGACTCAGGCTCAGTACACATCCCTGGTGCGGGAAACTCTGAGGAACTTGGTTGAAAAGATCAAAGGAAGTATGCAGCATTCTACTGGAGGCAAACGTGATCTTTCCAGGCGTATAAGTTTGAAGAGTTTAGAAATTGATTTGAATGGAATTTGTGGGTGTTTTAGTGTCTTAAATAAAGTTTTATATTCTGTTTTCATAGCTCTGTCAAGCTTTTTTAAAGTAATAGTCCTTTTTAAATTAAAAAACAAGTCAACTTTTTTTTTTCAGAGCAATCTACATCAAATATATAGTTACCCAGTATCCTTGCTACTCAATAGTAATCAGGCATCTTACCATTTTTGTCTGCATTAAAATGATTTCTGTAACACATAGTTAATTGTTATCATAAGACAAATGTGAGGTAACTTTTTACGACATTTTTGTGAAGTAAATGGTGGGACTCCAAGATAGCACAATTTTCAGCAACGAAATCTGTGTTCACTTAATTGACGGGGGATCACTGAGTCACACTGCCAGCATGTAGCATTTTACACAAAACCTATCAAGATTTCTCTTGATAATCACACTCGCAAATACAAGCAACTCCAAGTTTTCATAATTTCATTATCTATTTTGGGAATTACCTAGGCCCTTTGCTTTCCTTTCATCTCTCTTTGCTTGACTGACTACTGTTTTGGCTTTCAACCAAAGAGTAGTCAGGGGATAACAAAGCTAAACATTTAACCAGTCAATTTTTCTACATTCAGTGCAATGTTCAGGCAAGGTTTAGACATGGGGGAGACTTAACTCTTAGTTTGGAGGATTACTTCTGAATGCCAAGTATCCCAGTGTCCCTGGGCTCTCCTAACGTGCATAATTAAGAGTTGACTGTATAATGTTATTTGACATTGTTTCTTAAGGCAATTATGATAGTTGCTGAAGTGAGACTTTCTTGGGTTTAAAGTCTATAGCTCTCAGGTAATTTAATTGAGCTATTGCAGCGGATAAATAAAAGTTATAATAAAGCACAAACGAACCAGAAATCTGATGTTCTCTACTTTGCACGTGCACTTTATCACTTCTAATCTATGGCATCTACTGCTGGACTATATTTATGACTGAACAGATGCTCCTAGAACACTAGGCAACAAGCTATCAATATTGAGCAAGGCTTTGAAAAGTGTTGACTCAAATTCTCCAGGAAATCAGCTTTTTCCTTGCTTTTAAACACTTACACGTGAAGAACATGTACACATTAGTGTGGCCCAAACCAGAAACACAGCCAGGATCCATCATGGGGGGAATGGCTTCATCGATAAAGTCCCCACATTCTTTACAACAGGGTAGAGAATGTATGCAGGAAAAAAAATAGTTCTTATCCCTGCAACACCCCTCCTTTGTAACCTCCTAGCAATCATAGCGACACCTGTTTCTCTTCTGAAGCACTTCACAATATCATTGCTTTTATGTTTTAAACTTTCAAAAGATGAGATGCAAATATACATGACATAGTCCTTATTTAGCTATCGCCAGAGCTTTAAGAAATGTGGTCATGGAATACATAGGTCCTTTGGAGAACTCTTCATAAAAAAGGTATTTGCAACATTGTAGAATATAAGGCTAGATTTTAACTAAATGATCTGTAAAGGGCCACATAGATGTCTCCAGAATTTGTAAAGAAGGTTGGTTGTCTTTTCTCTTTTTTCTCCCCTTGATTTTTCCATCATCATTTATCTCTCATATACCCCTTTCCACTTCTCTCTCCCTCCTCCCAGAATCACCACACTATTGTCCAGGTCTCTGAGTTTTTTCTTTCATTTTTCTTTTTTGCTCAATACCCCCTCTCCCCTGTTCCCCGCCCCCCCCCACCCCAATCCCGAGCTATCAGCCTGCTCTCTATGCGTTTTTCTCTATGTTGCTTGTTAGTTCATTTTTTTGTTGTTGTTGTGTTTTTGTTTTTTTTATTGCTTAAAGTATTACAAAGGGTATTACATATGTGTCCTTTTTTTTCCCCCACCCTTGACAGTCCCCTAGCCTCCCCTATCTCCCAGTGTCTTATGTCCATTGGTTATGCTTATATGCATGCATACAAGTCCTTTGGTTTACCCTTTGGGATGGCACGGACAGACCTGGAGAACATTATGCTAAGTGAAACAAGCCAGTCAGAGAACAGAACCATATGATTTCACTCACATGTGGAATTTAATGCAGGTTGATTGTCTTTTGCAAATGAACCCCCTCTATTAGAAATCGATACCACTTGGGTGAGGTTTTCAGTTGCAGTAGTTACCATTGGCTGCCTATTAATGTGTGGCTGGAGACATTTGGGAAAGCCCGATTCCAGTTGGGAGATGCGGGCAGGAATGAATTGCACTAAGAAAGCTAAGGCTTAATTGATTTTGTTGCTACCTGTCTCGAGAAAGACCTTGTTCAAGGAATGGAATACATGACTCTAGGAAAGGGAGGCCCACAGAATGTCATTTTTGTTATCTACCCTTTGTGGTAATTCTCTACTCCCCAACCCTTTGATTATTATATCATCTTTCTAGGCATTCTAACACTAAGAATTTGGCCCATGAGACTGTGGACATAAATAAGTTTACTGGCTACTGAAAATGTGCCCTCTGGTCCCAACAGCTATCTCTGAACAGCGATTTCTGAGGATTGAGTGAGTTAAGCCAGTTTTTCGAGGCAGCTCCAAACTTAACTGTGTGTGAAAATGCAAAATTAAGGATTCCAGACCCTGAAATATGGTGATCACACTAAATCGATACTCATCTAAGATGGATGCTTGTCTTTTTAAGTGACATTCCTGGCCAGTCTTTCGTTACAATAGCATACTGTTCACTGATAACTTTGTTTAATTAAAATTGAACTTTTGTCATTTAAAAATATTTTATTCTTCTTAACATTTTAAAATTTCTTCTCTCTGTTACGTCACTTCTCTGGAATGTTTATAGTATTAAATGAAAAGATGCCGTAAAATCCTCAATATTATCATTATGTACTCAAGTTGAGTATTCCTTATTATCATTGCAATACGGAATTTGCACACAGGCACTTAGTGGCGCCCTACATACAGTCAAATAAAAGGAGACGATCTGAATGTAGAATCTAGACCAGGAGGCATGTTACTAAGCCCAGAGTACTGACCTTTACATGCAGGAAAGTCATAGGCTATTTGGAAAGAAAAGAAATGTGTTTTGTTCTGTGTCCTCTAGTTGAAGCAAACTTTAATGTGCATATGAATCACAGATATGGATCTTTAAGTGAAGGTTTTAATTCAGTAAGTCCAGGTCAGGGCTGAGACTTAGCATTGCTAACAAGCTTGTGGGAGCTGCTGGTAAGAACTGTAAGAGGAGTCGCAAGGCTGTATGCAAACATCTTAACCTTTTACCTTTATATTTTCAGACAGACATACAATATGTTGATATCTTTGTGTATCTACTGGCTTAAAAATTGGAAAACTTACATCGCCACCCACTGTGTACGTCTTATATGAGTCTTTTATGTAGAAAGAGGTATTTTCCAGTTGCAGCAGCTGTCCAGGGCAAGGGTGGCCAATACATTTCCATTCTGGGCAATGCAACTGAAATGGTAGTGGCTTCCTGGTATGTGTGTTAATAAGAATTCTGAGGCCTAATGAAGACTCGGTGGGAAAGACTGCAGGAAGCAAACATTGGGGAAAGTGGTAGCCAGCATGCCAGTTCTTTCCCATGTTTGGTTTACATTATTCAGCTAACTTGCTTTATTTAAACTGGAATTCCTAAGAAAGGGAACATAACTATGATGTTTGCTATTTATAGCACTTTTCTTTGATTTCAGTTTAGTAAGTAAAGTGTTGATTATGGAGGATCCAACCTAGATTTTCGATTGCCTTTGTGTACATTGGCTCTGCAGTGCTGGCAAAGATTACAAAGCAATTTCTGCCTATAGCAGCTTTGGGAAATCATGGAAAATATAATTAGCTGTATGTTTCACTCCAGTTCTTTATGAAGATGCGGCTGCT